CTGCAAGAGAGAGAGAGAGACACGCATTTCATTACGGATATGTGGTGACAGCAATGCTTGGACATAAGGGGAAGTCGCCCAATCCACATTAACACATCTTTTTCTTAATTACTATCAGTCTTAGTTCCTTAAGAGTCACTTCAATTAGCAGGTGACCAATGAGGCAGAAAGACAACTACCAGGCTCCAGACTGGTCAATTTTTAGCCTAATCTATATTTCCAATTCACAGCACAAATGCGGGCAACAGGCTTTGATACAATCAATTGCACGGTCATAGCATTGTACTGCACTATTGAATTACAAATTTAGAATATAACCCAATGCAACACTTGTTTGAATGTTTTTACACATAGATGGCTAAACTTGTACTAAGTCACCAATGAGCCAATTACGAGTACTGCCTGTCTCGCCCGTTTACCCTTTTCTTTGATTTACGAAAATATTTTACATCATCTTATTTTCCTATTAATAATGTTTATAACATTATAGTAATCATACTGTTTATAATAAAAATAACACCATCGATATTCATAGCACTAATAAATACATTTTTTCCCGGCAATTCAAATCAGGTAAGGTCACAAGGTCTACTAATTGACTCCTTTGTGGCTAAACACTAGCAGAGCCATCTATGTGAAGAGACATTTCACAAAAATCATTAAACATGAGCACAGCATTATCCCCACTTTTATTCATTTTCCCCGGCGGCATTGGGGTAACGTAAACATCACTCCTTGTCGCATGCGAGCTGATTTTTTTCTATATACATTGAACCTGTTTTATGATACAGTTTACACGCATTTGAGAATTCACCAGATAAAAGAAATTCCCGTTACAGAAGAGTCAGCTGTAGTACAAGATCCTAGTCTATGTCCATGCTTTGCTTTTCACATGCTAACCTTACTAGTCGCTCGGCATGATAAGGACCACGGATTCCAAGTAATTGGAACTTGGCGGTGGGGATCCGCAGAGTTTACGGGGAAATACTTGGCTCCAGCTTTTTCCTCTTCTACCTTCGTCATGTAGGCCACTTAAAATCCTCCCCCGTGGATTTACTTTAGAAGAAATGATTCATATAAACAAATTACTCATATTATATATATTACTGACGGCCGTGGCAAGGTTTCTTAGACATTGATAACGCGTACACCGGCACAAAAGGGCAGCGGACGCACAAACTCACTCGCGATCATATTTTTTTTTCCAGAGATGTATATTCCTCTATAAACGTCCATGATTTTCATCTAGCTGTGCTGTGACCTAGATTGTTGGAATGCCTATTCTAGAAGATAAGGAATAAAAATTGGAATTGCTATTCTAACACCTACAGAGAAAATAAGGAAGATATTTCGTTGACGGTTACTTGCTTAACACAGCATGGCGAAAGGTTGACACATATCAGTGCCAATGCCTGTGAGCACGACGATGATTCTCTGTCAATTTCCTGCGCCAGCTCAAAGTAATGATAACGTATGAAGTTTTTCAGGGCGGAGCGGATCTGCATTGAGCGATCGTGGCATTTGCAGCCCTGCATACACCTAATTTAAAGTTGCAATGCAGTATTTACCGCAATCTTGTAACTTAAATGCAGTTATACCACAATTTCTAGAACTGTTAAAGGTGACTTTTTTAGCAGTATATACATAAATACATACATACATGTATGCATCCATATACACACAAATACGTATATATGTATGTATATTCCACAAGTTTCATATTCCGTTTCCGTTGCCATGGCACATAATCAACTAGAACATACGAACGTAAAATAAACAACAATTGTATACTTCAGGGTTTGCATCCCGAGTCCTTGGAAAATCACGACATAATACGAGGCACTAACTCTAACGATATTACAATATGCATATTCCTCGGATATTGCTTTCGAGTATCAATGACCCGAGGCCACGAGAAGGAACCCGCCGCCCATGAGAGAAAACGGGAAATCTTTTGGTGCACGAGAGAAAACGGGACTTCGCTAGGGGTCACGTATTGATCACAGGCGAAGCAACGGGTCTCTTAAACTGACAAAGTTTAACATGTATAATACCACAAACTCTTATAAACTGTAGAACAACATAAAACCGAATAGAATATAAAAGAAACGGCAAAAGTTAAGGACCGGCATCACATTTCTACAATTAGTCTAAACTGAAAACTACACGATCTTTCCCTGGAAAGAAGGAAAGATTGAGAGAAGGAGAAGAAAGAAAGAAAAAGATAAAGATAAAGAGAAAGAAGGAGGAAAGGTGGGAGGGAGGAAAGGAAGGAGGGAGGGAGGGGGAAGAAGGAGGAGGGATTGAGAGGAGGAGGAGAGAAAGGGGGTTACAGAGGGAGGGAGGGAGAGAGTGAGGAGAGAGAAGAGAGAGAAGAGAGAGAAGAGAAGAAGAGAGAGAGAGAGAGAGAGAGAGAGAGAGAGATGAGAGAGAGAGAGGAGAGAGAGAGAGAGAGAGACGAGAGAGAGAGAGAGGAGAGAGAGAGAGAGAGAAGAGAGAGAGAGAGAGAGAGAAGAGAGAGAGAGAGGACGAGAGAGAGAGGAGAGAGAGAGGAGAGAGAGAAGAGAGAGAGAGAGGAGAGAGAGAGAGAGAGAGAGAGAGAGAGAGAGAGAGAGAGAGAGAGAGAGAGAGAGAGAGAGAGAGAGAGAGAGAGAGAGAGAGAGAGAGAGACGAGAGAGAGAAGAGAGAGAGAGAGAGAGAGAGAGAGAGAGAGAGAGAGAGAGAGAGAGAGAGAGAGAGAGAGGAGACGAGAGAGAGAGAGAGAGAGAGAGAGAGAGAGAGAGAGAGATGGGCTGGAGGAGTGAATCCCCCACAAGCGCGCATGTGCTCCCCGCGACCCATATATTGCGCTCGTGCATTCCTCCCCCCCACCCCCCCACCTGGAGTCTCCCTCTGCTTCCTTCTCGACCCCACCCTCCTTCCCCCCCCTCCTCCCACCCACCGCCTCGACGAAAGTGCTCTGGAGGCAGATCAGCGACGTGACTCCACAATCCTGGCCTAAAGCATCCGTGTCCAACAAAGGCCAGTAAAACCCTCTAATAAAACATTACTAATAAACAAAAGGTCTTGGCGGGTGAGCCGAGGTGAGGTTCGTCCTCCGTTCCAGACACGCCCCCTTTCCCATGTGACTACCCCCGCCCTCCAAGCTTCCTTTAAGTCCACCCTCTCCCTTACTCTATTGATTATGGGGGGGGGGGGGGGGAGGTAGCGTGGAAAGCGGAAGCGGAAGGAGAGAAGGCAAAGGAATTGAGAAACAAGACGTATACAAAGAAGGAAAAAGGGAGAGAAAAAAAGAGAGTAAAAGACCCCGGTATACGGCACATAAAGGGCATATAAGAACAGCCTCGAGACAGCCGCGCCACGCTGGGGGGAAAACGGAACCGAAGAAGTTAAGAAAACGGAGGCGCATCGACAGAGTTGGGCCTAGTTTTCCCCCGTCCTCCAGCGCGCCAAAACTTCGATCACGCATAACATAAAGCGTTAAGCGGTAAACTGCTCAGCTATTCTGATCAAGGGCTGTTGTTCAGAGTGGTCTTGAGCCCACGTGAAGGTATTTAAGGATTTCTATGAACGAGTGTGCGTCTGTGCGGGAGGTTATCGTCGAAATTGCAGATTTGTTTGGTGCAGCCAGAAAATAAATGAAGGCGCGGCATTAAATCCTATTTTCATGTACACGCATATCCATACACTCTTATATATGTACACACATACATGCATACATACATACGTAACTTGGGTATATTTCTCTTGCCTTTCATTCTCGGTATTCTTTCTTTCTTATTTAAGCCTCTTCTCAGCTTTACCTTTTTCCTCTGTTCACCCGCCTCCCTTTTCCACCCTCCCTTCCCTCCTCTCCTTACTCCTCCCTTCCCTTCTCTTCCCTTTGCCTTGTCTGGTCTCGCCCTGCCCTGCCCTGCCTTGCCTTGCATTGTCTTATCTTGCCTTGCCTTGCCTTGCCTTGCCTTGCCTTGGCTGGTCTCGCCCTGCCCTGCCCTGCATTGCCTTATCTTGCCTTGTCTTGCCTTGTCTTGCTTTTCCCTCCCTTTCCTTTACCCTTTCCCCTCACCCCCACCCACGTGACCGAAACCCGCAAATGTCGCCTCTTAATTAATTTCTTTCCCGCGTGAGCTTTGGCCTCGGCGCTACCGAGAGGTGCGATGCCAAATTGCAGTGCAGCAGATGACAATTTTGTTCAGCATCTATAGCTCTACACGATAGGCTATTTAAAATGTCAAAAGGACCACTTTGATAATTGACTTCATTAGTGCTAAATAGATGCTAATTAGGACCACTTCCGGTCAAAATTTGTGATGGCCCATCTTGGATTCTTATTCCTTGACCTCGATTGCATAGGTCTCATGCGAAAAAAAAACAAGGTTATCCCCTTTGCCAGATTGTTTGGGAAAAAAAAGTCTAAAATAGGAGAGGCGGGTTCGGTGCCACGTGTTAACGAATTTGCATGCACCCAAGAAAAAGAAAAAAAAAAATGAAGTTAGCAACAAAGGCGAAAGCTTATGCGCTTGTCGTGATTCTAATCATGGTTCTTGCAACTGAACATTAATCTAAAAATAGAAAGAATGGAACCACTTGATCATTATATTTTCCTCATATATCAGCAGCTGCTCGTACAGGTGTGGAATAGGGTCCCGTCTGTATACAAATTAACGAAATGTAATACGTTAGCCAAAAAAAAAAAAAAAAAGAAAAAAAAAAAGAAAAAAAAAAAAAAAAAAAAAAAAAAAAAAAATATATATATATATATATATATGTAAGGAAAAAAGCCACAGTAAGAAACGAAATTGAATTTCAATTCTGTTTCCTACTGTGGCTTTTTTCCTTTCATTTTTGTGTACACGTTACTGTGTTTGTGTCATATATATATATATATATATATATATATATATATATATATATATATATATATATATATATATATATATATATATATATACTAATGATAATCATGAAATAAATATGAACAATCACAATACAAAACTAAA